AGAATTTAAGAGTCAGCAGCCAAGAATTCGTCACCAGTAGCTCAGGCCTGTAATGTAATCCTAACCACTCACAAGGCTGAGATCTGAAGATCATGGTTTGAAGCTAGCCCAGGCAGAAAAGTCTGTGAAACTTTTATCTCCAGTTACTCAACAAAAAGCCCAGAAGTGGAGATGTGGCTCAAGTGGTAAAATGCCAGCTTTGAGTGAAAAAGCCAAGCAAGAGTGGAAGGCTATGAGTTCAAGCCCCATACTGACACTTAGACACCACACACACACACACACACACACACACACACACAGAGCAGGAGTAGAGGATAAGACAGAAAGGCTGGTCTTTCAAAGAAGCTTCTGCTTATGTTTTTAGAAGTGTAGCTTCTCTGTGATTACATTAATCTCAGTGACAATACCACAGCCAGGCCAGAGACACCGAATTGAGAATTCTGCTACCTCGGGCACCTGTGTTCTGACCTCAGCCAGCTGATTGTCATTCAGGCCCCCTGAAAGTCCAGCTGTTGGTCTTTAAGCCCAAAGGGGCCATTTTGGGGTCCTCTTGAAGTCATGGCTGTCACTGTCTTCTGGGCTTATGAAAATGTCTTCAGGAATCAAGGTTGGCTGCGCTTCCTGAGTGAGTCCCTCTTCTTTCTAGAGCTCGCTTTTACCGTAGAGGCTTTGCATCCCACTTCTAATCCTATTCAACTTAAAATGGCAATTAAGTGACTGTGTTGATGACATAAAAAGGTTGAGGACTTTAAAAGTCTAGGGCTGGGGAGGGCTTTTCCACAGCTCTTGCCATGACAGGAAGCCTGTGTACACCCCCAGCTTCAGAAGAGAAGGCTCCACAGCAAAGCCCGCTTCTTACATTCCACCAGCAAAAGACAAAACCAAGGCTAGGACCAAGGGCAGGTTGTGGCTAGCAGTCCAGAGGCTTCTCTTCATGGCACACTCATTGAAGAAGGAAGTAGGGGAGAAGTAGGGATGCCCAATTCAAAATCGGTTGTGCAAGGCCTTTAGATGTCAAGAAGAAAGAGGTCCAAGACGAAGTCTACTAAAGTACAATTTGTGGTCAATTGTCCCTCCATCTCCCAATCATGTCTGAGGTCCCCAGCTGGTTAGGGACAATCATCCTCCAGATTCCTTGCTCACTGAATGTGGCTTCAAGCTGTGGAGCATCAGGCAGCTTCTACCACCCTGCCTCAGCTCCCCTCAGGAATGGGAGACTCTCCGTTCCAGACATATTTAGAACTGTCACATAACCACGATTGGTTAAGGTTTCATATTACATAAAAGGCCAAGGAGTTGCTGTTAATTTGCATTATGTAAATGAAATGACTTACAAGAGAGCATTCATTTGTGTAGCTATTAAGGCATTCTCCTCCACTGTTTCTACTCAGTGCTTTAAAGCAAAACAAAAACTAGCCTGGCATGGTGGTGTACACCTACAGTCCCAGCACTAAAGAGGCACAACCAGGAGGATCAAGAATTTGAGGCTAGTCTGGGTCCATATAGCAAGTTGGAGGCAAGCTTTAGCTACATAGTGAAACCCTATCATATGTGTGTGTGTGTGTGTGTGTGTGTGTGTGTGTGTGTGTGTGTGTGTATGAAGAAAAAGCTACAAATGCTTTTGAGCCCTGCTGAAGTCAGTCCTCTTAAGAGCAATATAAATGTGTATCATGGGGTAAGAACTTAATAAATATCAACAGTTACTTAATTATGTCTGCTTCTGGATGCTATCAAGTCACTTGAGGCAAATCAGTGTTTCCTCCCAGCACAATTTAATTCAGGTCGAATATTCTAAGAACGACATGCATCCTTGAAGGTGTCACCTGGCTGCTGAAGCACCGGACAGGTGCAGTGACATGTGGAGAAAAGAACCCTTTGAGTTGAGCCAAATCTCCTGCACCTTGTTCCACTCCTATGATCTAGTTGGCTTTTGGTGCAAGATAAGAGAACAAAACTTCTGGTGCTGGCTGAGAAGGCATCGAGCTGTTGGGCATCTACCAGAGCTGCAATCAGAGACTTTGGAGCACAGGGTGGCTACAACTGCCATGGTTTCAGAGAGTAAGCTCTGAGAGAGGAGAGGAGCCTGGAAGAATGAATTCAAATCGAGACCATGATTTTCTGGGTGTGTGTGTCTGAGTGTGTGTGTGCATATGCGTGTGTGCCATGTGTGCCAGTCTTGGTCAGTCAAGGCCTGGGTGCTGTCCCTGAGCTATTTTACTCGAGGCCACAGCTCATTTCTAGCTATTTGCTGTTTAACTGGTTTGAAGCCAGCCTAGGCAGGAAAACCCTTGAGCCTCATATCTCTAGTTAACAACCAAAAAGCCAACGTGGAGTGCTAGCTTTGATAAAAGGTGTAAGGACTAGCTGGGCGCCGGTGGCTCACGCCTGCAATGCTAGCTACTCAAGAGGCTGAGATCTGAGGATCACCGTTCAAAGCCAGCCTGGGCAGGGAAGTCCGTGAGACTCTTATCTCCAATAAATCACTAGAAACCCGGAAGTGGTGCTGTGGCTCAAGTGGTAGAGCGCTCACCTTGAGCTGAAATGCGCAGGGACAGTGACCAAGCCTAGAGTTCACTGACCCAAAAAAAAAAAAATAAGTGCAAGGACATTGCTTAAACCCTGAGTTCAAGCTCCAGGACTAGCATACGCATGTACAAAATTCACAAAACTCATCTCAATTAATGGCTGGATGCAGTGGTGCCTGCCTGCCATTCCCAGTGTTACCGGAAAACACAAGGAAGATCACAGTCTAAACTGGTCTGAGAATAAAGTGAAAGCATTCATTGAAAATAGACTGCAAAAAGGGCCTGGAAACATGGCTCAAGGGCCTGCCTAGCAAGCTCAAGACCCCAAGTTCAATCTCCTCTACCACCAAAGAAAAGAAGAGGGGAGGGGAGGGGAAGGAAAGGAAGGGAAAGGGAAGGCAGGGAAAGGAAGGGGAGGGGAAGGGAGGGAAGGAAGGAAAGAAGGAAAGAAGGAAGAAAGCAGAGGAGGGGATAGAGGGAAGAAGAGGAGGATGAGGAGGGGAGAGGAACGGAGAGGGGAGGGGGGAGGGAAAGGAGGGTAGTCACAAATAGTGGCATGCGCCTGTAATGTCAGCACTCAGGAAGTGGCGGGAGGAGGATTATGAGGTCAGCCTGGGCTACATAGCAAGACCCAAAGTCTAGATAGATGTGTCTGAAGAGAAAAGCAAGACCCTATTCAAAAAGCAATGTCTCACTAGACACTACGTTGAAAATGAACGCAACTTGTGGATGTGGGTGGGAGGGAAGACTGAGAGCAAGGGAGGGGGTAACATTGTCCAAAAAGAAATGTACTCTATACCTAACTTATGTAACTGTACATCACTCTTTATAATTACATGAGAAAAGCAAAAAGGATTCACCTGGTAGAGCACCTTCCTAGCAAGCAAAAAGCCCTGAGTTCATATCCCAGAACCACCAACACACACACATACACAACCCAGACTGGGTGCTGGTGGCTCACACCTGTAATCTAGCTACTCGGAAGGCTAAAATCTGAGGCTCGTGGTTTTAAACCAGCCTATGTAGGAAAGTCCATGTGACTCTTAGCTCCCATTAATCACCCAAAAGAAAAAAAGCAGGAAGTAAAGCTATGGCTCAAGTGGTAGAGTGCTAGTTTTGAGCAAAAATGGTTAGGTCCTGAGTTCAAGCCTTAGGACCAGCACACACATACATACGTACACACAGCATAGCCAGGGGAAAAGGGGAGTGTAGGTGAGTGGACATGATCAGCGTGCTCTGCATCTGTCTGGAAATGTCACCATGAGCCCTCCCCACTTGCATAATTTTGTTTTAATAAGACTATACAGTGTAGGGGGAAACCAATATCCAGGCCTGGAGATGTAGCTCTGTGGTAGAGTGTTTGCCTAGTAGGCGCAAAGCCCTGGATTCTATCCCCAGCACTGGAGGAAAAAAAAAAAAAGAATGAAAATTCAAAATCTGAAAAATACTTCTGAAATGAAGAACTCAACAGATAGGTTTTTCACATACATTTTTCCCCTTAGCATACACTAGTATAGAAGGAAGAAAACAAAACGAAAACAAGGAAACTTACCTGTTGGAGGGTCCGTCAGTGTTCTAGCATCAGCACACTAGCTTGCGTCACCGGCTTACCATCACCAGCTTCCAGCACCTGAACAACTGGATTCAAACTACATCCAACCCATAGCAGTTGATCTTTATATGATCACTACACAGAAGGCATTCATCAAGGACAAGCCTACTTCCCTGAATTCCTCCATTGGTGGCCCCTGTCTATTCTAATTCTCTCAGAGTCCTTGCTTAAGACACAAAAGCTTTCCAATTTGATTGTAATATGAGAGAAACTCTTGCCTCTTATGGATCTGCAAATTACTTAATTAAAAAAAAAACGGGATGGGGAGACTTTCTGGGACACAACTGGTTGGGCCAACTCCTCTGGGCAGGGATTTTTCCACTTAAAAAGTGTTCAGCACCTTCTGTCCTAAATTTGGACAAGTCTGTAACCATCTTTAAGTTCTCCCAGCAGGTGATTCTCAGCCATGTTTCCCACCTCCTGTGTACCCATTGGCAGGAAGGGCCGCAGTATGGGAAGAGCTCCCTAGATGACACAGAGAACGTAGGTAGAACCAGCACCAGGGGCTCACACCTGTAATCCTTGCTACTCAGGAGACTGAGATGTAAGGATCATGGTTCAAAGCCAGCCTGGGCAGGAAAGTCCTTGAGACTCCAATGAACCATTCAGAAAACCAGAAGCAGAGCTGTGGCACAAAGTGTTAGAGCCCTGGCCTTGAGCAAAAGAGCTCAAGACAGCGACTAGGCCCCAAGTTCAAGCCCCACCACTCACACACACACACACACACACACACACACACAAACACACACACACGGGTAGAGTCCCCCAAGTCAAGAAGAACAGAAAACTGAGTTGCCAAAAGAAATGTATCATCCTAATACAATAAAACACATGCTTTGCATTCCAGGTCCTTCAACTATTCTATGGGCACCCGGGCTTTTTCCCATGACAGTATCTTTATCCCTGATGGGGGAGCAGAAAGTGAGCAGACAGTTCAAGCAATGTCACAGGACAACATCCTGGGCAAAGTCAAAACTCTTCAGGTAAGACAGCTTGAGCCCGGAGGGGCGGGGCCTGGCGGGGGAGGGAGGGGGAAGAGTCCCAGCCATTCTGTGAGTAATATGGACAGGAGGGGCCCAGACTGGCTCCTGGGGAGATCCTTTGGTCTCACAGAACCTCTCGCAGTTCTCTGGAAGCGACCTGGCCCCTGGCGAGAGGCCTGCACTCTGCCCACCTGCATGACGGTGCCTTCCTTTCCTCTCAAATGTTACTGGGTGTGGGAAGAAGCACCTGGCTTGGGGCTTGCATGGAGGACAGAGCTCCTAACCAGTACGCCAGCCCGAGATCGGTGATCCAGCCGCCTGGTGCAGGTTCATAGTCCAGGTCTCCAACGCCAGATGGCCAACATGGAGATGCTTTTTCCTGCTGTGCCTCTGTACGTGGCTCCCAGCCATGTCATCTCAGAGGCCCTTCACCAATCCCCTCCTGCTCCTGCAGTGTGGTAGTTTTCCTACCCAACATTGACTCGGCTGGTGACTGCCTAACAAGGAAAATAGAACAAAGCAATCCTTTACTAAGTATGAGTAAAATAACAGGGAAAACAGGAGCAGTACAACCACTTAGGGTCTGGCTACCTAGGTTCCACCCAGTGTTTGGGAGAATTCCTTCACTGGAGAGCAATGTCTAAGCCAGTGCTTCTATGGCAGGGGAGGAGGGGGGCGGGGGGAGGTCTCCCCAGATCTTGAACAGAACACTCGGGGATGATGAGCCCTCTACAATAATGAATGAGTGAATGAATGAATGGCCCAAGTAATTACCAATATAGTGATGCATGTGCTCAAAAGAAATCACCCACTTTCTTGAGATAATCTTTGCTTTCTACTAAGCAATAACCTGTTGGTAGCATATGGCAAATAGGGAAGCAGCAAACACCCTGGCACCACACCCAAACTTACCCAGGGCTTTATACCAGCATCCACCACTGGCCAGGGCCATGGTTCTACCTGCAGAGCCAGCCCATGCTGCCCTGCACATCCTAGCTTTCCTGAGCAGGCCGCTCTGTACTTGGTTCTAGCTAGCTATGCTCTTCCACTGGGTTTGGGCTCTGGAAAAGAGAACAATGTCTCACTTCCTATAGGTTGCTGCAGATGGCCAAGGAAAATCTGGTCTTTTGATTCCTGGCATATCATTCCCAGTAGGTTCCAAACCTCTGGCTTATCATATCATTATTTTTCTCAAAGGAGTGACGTGCAGAATCCTGTCCATGAAATAGCACTATTATAGAAGTATTATTCTGGAAGTGCTGTAAAAATAGATGGCAGCATGTTATCTTAAATGACATACACTCCGGCACATCACATGACATGCTATTCCCAAAATTGGAGTTAATAGCTGTAAAGCATAAGTCATTGTGCAGTGTTGAAAAATACAGAAACTTGAGAAAAATCTAAGTATTGTGCCAGGTGCCAGTGGTGCACACCTGAAGGACTGTAGGTCAAAGCCAGGCCTGACAGAAGAGTCTGAGAGACTCTAATGAGCCAATAAAAAATGCAGCTGCAGCTGTGACTCAAATCATGATTTTAACTAATCTGATTTCATAATTCATGAACTGTGGAACAATTAACTTCCCTGAAGCAACAATTCTGTTCACACAAAGAAAAGCATGGAAGGAGAGCAGAATAACGGTTTGAGGACTCTTACTTTTTGACAGTTTCTACTCACACAAGGTCTGCCTCAGTTTACCTCTGCTGCATGGATTCACAAGCTTTCCTTTCAGCTCAACAGTGATATTTAAAAAAAAAATAGAAAAGGCTTTGCTCTCCAAGGAGGGAAATGGGGGACCATTATAATAGCAAATGTAAATTTTGGAGTGACCTGAGATATAATTGTATCACCCCCAAAAGCCTATGTGTGCTTTATTTTTCAGTCGACTGAGCAGTATGCTCCTGGTAAGTGGTAGAGCGCCAGTCCCATCCTGAACTTGCATGAATGCTTTGCATTTTTCTACCACCACGTTATGCTGGTGTTGATGCTTAGTAAGCAGCATAAACGACCGCCCCTCGTCCACTCCAGCATGGAATGAGATGGTTTAGCTGTGTCTGAGGCATGTGTGTTTGTATGTCTGGAATTGTCTTTGTGTATATGTGTGCATATTTTTTTAAGGGAAAAGGAATCAATAACACTTATTTGACAAGAAAGATCCTGGATAACTGATTAGCCACTATCCCAAAGATCTTTTGAATTTCTACCTGAATGACATTTAAGGGTCTAAAAAGCCATTTACATATTACTTAAGAAACTGCCCAGCCCTTGGAGCCCTTGGACACCCACAGAAGGGCGGCTGTTAATGCCTGCCCTTGGGAAAGGTTGCCCCTGGTGTCCACATGGAGTCATTGCACCTGCAGTATTGGCTAATGGAACACAACACCAATCAGCTTGCCTTGTCCCCAATTACCTGAATCTACCACCTGCCAAACTTTCTGTAGCAAACAGATCTTTCTAAATAAAATGCACATATATTGTTTCTGGTTATAAAAATGTGCAAAGCAAGAACAAGTTTTGAATATACCAGACTCTGAGAACTCTATGTAAGAAATCAGTTGCTCTGTGAGCAGTAGGATGAAGACCATGTGAATGCATGAAGGAATTCATAAAATAGGAAGCACAAGTTGGGTCTCCACCACCTCTGGCTACGTGGCCCTGGGGGAAGTCATTTAACCCATGATACTCCCAGTCCCCACCTGAACAGCAGGGGTGCATATGACGGGGAATCTGGGGTCTGAGGTCTGTGATCTGGGTGAAGTCGCCGGGCACCTACTACGGCACTGGTGGCTTCACAAGCTTTGCATTTGGGCTGCAGTAAGTTTGCCATTGCCTTCAGCTTTCCAGAAGCACAGGGCAAGGAGGATGCCTGTTCATTTGAGATCAGAGCAGGCAGTGATGATAAAACTCAGGGGCAGCACATGTGAGGCCACAGGTGAATTTTTTAGAGTTATACACCACACCTTTATCAGCGAAATGTTTAGGTTATTTCTTAACCACAGTTCTTGGGTCTAAGAAGAAAACCTCTATCCTTGGTAGCTAGTGAGTCAATTGAGCTAGACTTCACCTAAAAATACCAAAAGTATTCACGTTTTTCTGAGAGCAGGCATCTTTAAATGGGTATGCTGCTTGCTTCTTTCTTTACAAATTGCTTTCACCATAGAAATATGTACAATTCTCACAAGAAGACAGCCACTTTCTTTTTTTCCCCTTGGCTTTACTCTTAAAGATATGGGCTGAAGAATGGCTGTGAAAAAATCTGGGAAGTTCTAGATACTGGCAATGTGAAAGCTGCAGAATATGATGTTTTTGGCATTTTCCACACCATAGGAACCCGCTTCATGAATATGGATGAGCATTCCTGTAATATCGTTCTCTGACATTCCATATTGCAACAAAATGGCCCAATGTGAATGAATAAAATATAGTTCCTTTCAGGCCACATTCCAGTCTCAACAGTAATGCTATTCATAGCCACCAGCAGCACAGACTGTCAGTATATGCACAAATCTCCACTCTTTCCTGGTTATAATTGCAGTGTGTATAAAGACAAGTATTTATTTATTTAAATGTATATTTGTATATAAATGCATATATAAATACATAAAATCCAGTTCTCTACCCCGCTCTTCCTGTTCGAGAGAGACAGAGAGAGAGAGAGAGAGAGAGAGAGAGAGAGGGGAGAGTGTTAGTTTCTCTCTCTAAACTTAAGGGCCAGCCTAATTTTCAGTAGTTGTTCACTTATACTTACTGTCATGATAATGCTTGGAGAGAGGCTAAATTGATTTTTTAAAAGCCATATGTATCCATGTTTTTTGAATTCAAGTGACACCTGAGATTGCCAGGTAGATTTTAGCAGTAATCTTTCCATTGTTGACATGTCTCACAAAATGTCACAACAGTCCAGTCTCCTTTGGAAGCTGTAGGAGGAGGCATTTGGAGAAGGAACCTGGGGGGGGGGGGGAGGGCACATAAGTGGCTGGGGAAGAGTCTGGGCTAGGGTACCAAAAGACCAGTGGCCATGGCCCTGGAACCTAAGTCCTGGTCTCCTCCCAGCTCTCATACTGACAGCTGCAGGGCCTGCGTGTGAGAATAGTCCTTTGTCTGGACACAGACTCACCCTACTGCTTCCTCATTCCAGCCACCACGCCCCTCCAGCTCTCAGCCCTCCCCTTCCCACTCCCCCAGCCCCCAGCCCCAATCTGGTCTCCCTAGGAGATTCCAAAGCAGCCTCTGTGGTAGAGTGTACATTTTCAGACTCCACGTAACAGCATTGTGCTGCTTTTGCCAGGAGGAACATACATGTCACATCAATCAGCCCTTTGACAAGCACGCCTAGTGTACTCCCGCCCCCCCCTTCTTGTCCTCTTTGTTCCCTCTGTCTCCTTTCTTCCCTGTGCATTTCCTCTCCCTCCTCCACTTCATCCCTGCCTCTTCCCACACCCCTGTCCATCTTCCAGCAGTGAGATTTCCCTCCACAGCGCTCATGACATCTCTGGGCGCTGTTTCTGGCTAGCCTGTGACTGTATTTGGCCACCTTCATTTTTGTCTCTTAAAGTATCAGGATGGGTCTGTGTTCTAAAACAAGCCCCACGGCAGGGAAAATATCAGCCTATTTGTTCTTTTTTTTTTTTGCCATGAAGGCAAAAATAATACAATGGCTGTAGAAGATAAGCCAGCAAGTGTGTTAGGAATTATTCTTTCCATTGGCGGTATAAAGAATGCCATCTTCTTGGCGGGCCAGTGGATACCACAGGACAGCAAGGAGGAGGAATGGATTGGAGCGCCCTACAGCACAGTAGGGCAGCTAGTGTTGACAATGGATTGCACATTGCAAACAGCTTGAAAAGAAACCTTATCACAATCGCAGCCCAGACAGCTGAGAACTGTTCCAGATGGCGGGACAGGTTGCCAAGCACCCACATGGGATCCTGACACGCTCTATGCAGGCGCTGAAGCAGCACACTGGTCTCTAGTAATTCACGCACTCTGGAGGCCAAGGTAGGAGGAAGGCGAGTAACTGGCTAGCCTGGGGTAAACAGTGAAGTTTTGTCTCAAAAAAAAAAAAATCAAGAAAAGCACTGGGTGCTGGTGGCTCACACTTGTAATCCTAGCTACTTAGGAAGCTGAGATCTGAGGATCACAGTTCAAAGCCAGCCCAGGAAAGGAAAATCCATGAGACTCTTATCTCCTGTTAATCACCAGGAAATTGGAAGTGGCATTGTGGCCAAAGGTACAGTGCTAGCCTTGAGCAAAAAAGCTCAGGGACAGCGCCCAAGCCCTGAGTTCCAGCCCCATGACCAACAAAAAGAAAGGAAGGAAGGAAGGAAAAAAATCAAAAAAAGAGAGGGAGATGGGCAAGGAGAAAGAAAGAGGAAGGGAGGGAAGGAGGAAAAGAAGAGGGAGGAAAGGAAAGGAGGGAGGGAGGAAAAGAGGGAGGGAGGGAGGGAGGGAGAGGCTGGCCTGCTGGCTCAGAGCTCAGTCATTTTGGATCACTGGCAGATTCTACCATCAGGAAGTCCCTCCAGTCCAGGGGGGCTGAGGCCAGTTTGCCGTTCCTGGCCACCATTCCCCGGGGCAGGCTGGGCTGGCAGATCTTCTGCCTAGGTTTCCCACCCCTCCCCACAGGGCAGCAGTGAGCTGGACCTGTGGCTACGTGACTCCATGTCCTCTGTCTGACTCCATTGGCTGTTCTAACTGTGCCTGCTTATTGACCTGCTTAGAGTAGATACTAACTGCTGCTTCCTGCTGCACCTGTTTCTGGAAGACACCCCTTTTTCAGCACCCTCCACCCTTGGGGCTGCTGAAGCTGTCCTTCCCTGGCTGACCACGGGCTTTGGATGTGCGCTCCCCTCCTGCGGAACTGAGTCAGGCGCAGACTGGGGTCCCAGCGTCTGGAGTGCCAGCCCTTGCCTTGACATGCTCCTGACTTGGCATGTGGGGGTCCCGCAAGGTGGGGGAGTGGGGAAAGCATCTCTGGCTCATCTCTGTCATGTGTCTGCAGTCTCACTACCCACCAGGCCAAGGCTGATGGGAAGCTGGGACCAAGCAGGGGAGATCTGGGGAGATTTGGTTCCGTGGCGTTCTAAGACGGGGAATTCTGCCAGGGAACTCCAGATGCATTAAACATGCTGCATCATCTCTTTATGTAATTGCCCTGCAGGGAGGAAGTGCAACATCAGATTTATGAGGGCCACTGAAGCGCATTCAAGTAACCCTGGGTGTGATTTTGCAGGGCCTGAGCTCAGATTCCTTTGGGGTCACTCATTCCTTCCACAAGCGTGGGACACTCATCTGCTGGCACTACAGTGGGTTACAGTAGTTTGCTAAGGGTCTCTGGAAGTGCATAGGATTAAACATGAGCCTGATTAAAGATGAAGAGCAACTCATCTCTGGAGGCTTATAAAGCCAGTGAAACCCAGGTACCAGCATCTAGAGAACTGATGCTGAGCAGGGGGTGCATTTACCACACCTCAGGAGACACGGGGCAAGCGGGCGATCATTTTCCTTTTCGAATCCTGCCCTTGCCTCGTTCCCAACTCTATTCACCTTTCAATTTCTACACGTTTTTCTTCCCTTCTGCTGGGCCTTCCAGCTGCCACTTCTCACTAGAAATCAGTTGCGCCTCGGTCCTTATTCTCTAACTTGTCTTGATGCCCTGTTTCAAGATGGGTAGAGGCGGGGCATAGATGTCTCACACCTGTAAACCTAGCTATTCAGGGGGCTGAGATCTGAGGATCAAGGTTCAGAGCCAGCCCGGGCAGGCAAGTCCATGAGACCCTTATCTCTGATTAATCCGTCAACGCCAGGAAGTAGAAGGTGGCTCAAGTGGCAAAGTGCTAGCCTTGAGAAGAAGGATCCTTGAGATCAAGGCCCAGTACTGGCCTGCGCATTTACGCACACACACATGCACGCGTGTGCACACACACACATTATAAAGAAGTCCAGATTGTTCTCTTCCCCTTGTGTGACTCCAGCATTGACTGAGGAAAGACTCGCTGGCCCTGACTCTCTTCCCCTTGCCACTTTCACTGTGGCTGTGCCCTGCTGGACCTGAGGGTCCACCGGGGGCTGGTGGGAAGGTGGCAGAAGTATAAGGATTCCTGGGAGAAGCATCTAGAAGGAGCCAGAGTGCTCCCGTGCAGCATCCAGCCTGTAACTGCCGTGTAACTGTCTTCCCTACAGTGTTTTTGTACTTTCAAAAGACTCTTTTTCAATATTTAGATTACTCAGAAGTCAAAATCCCAGGTGGCTCACGCCTGTCCTCCTAGCTACTCAGGAAGCTGAGATCTGAGGCTCACTGTTCAAAGCCAGCCTGAGGCAGGCAAGTCTTTGAGACTCTTCTCTCCAGTGAATCACCAAAGAGCTGGAAGTGGAGCTATGGCTCCAGTGGTCCAGTGCTAGACTTGAGCAAAGAAGTTCAAGGATTGTGCCCAAGCCATGAGTTTAAGACCCATTATTCACACACACACACACACACAGAATTTTAAAAACCACGCGTTCTAATTTTGGCCATGAAATAGACTCCCCGAATCTATTGGAAAATGGCAGCATTTCCATGCAAGAGATAGCTGATGACAAAGGTCCAGGCTTAAAGATGGACTGCCCCCTTCCCTGGCGCAGCAGGGTGTCGGGAGAGCTGCCGCTGCCCTGGCCACGCCTCAGTGACCCCTAGCTATGCTGCAGAACCTGCCTGGGGACCCGGGCCTGCCTTGCTGCTTCAGAACCTCTTTCTCTTGTGTTTCTCCCCAGCGACAGTTGGGCAAGAATATCAAGTTTGGGCAGCGGCCATCCAATGCCATTCCTATGAAGAAGGCTGGCAGTGGAGAAGCTGGCTCAGAAGAGGACTTGTTTCTGACCAGTCCCATGGAAATCGTCACTCAGCAGGACGCTGTCCTCTCAGATTCGGAGAACAAAGTAAGTCTCCTCCAGGGATTGGCTTGATGACTCAAAGCCAGGGCTGGAGGCTGCTCAGGGACCGGGGTGTCTGAGGAGCCTGAGGGGGGTACTGATGAGCAGTAGAGGGGACTGGGTGGGGGAAGGGCTTCTGATGAGAGACCCAGGGCTGAGAATACTTCTTAGGCAAGTGTGCTGGCCCGGGTCCAATGAGGAGAGGACAGGGAAGGAGAAGGAACAGGGCCTTTGCACATGCTGTTGTCAGTGACTTCCACATACCCCTCAAGGCTCGGGCTGTGCCCACCTCGTCTGGGAAAGGCCAACCTCGCCTTTTTTCCAGCGACATTGTCTCCTTTTGGTGTGTCCTCATCACTCGCACATCGGAGCCCTCGTGCGTGTAACTGTTTCTTTCCTGTCTTTAAATGCTGACGTCTTGCAGACAGATGGGGCCTCACACATCTGTGTGTCTCCGGGAGGTAGCCAAGGCCTGCTTTGTAACACAGAATCGCTACTTGTCATAGTGGACTGGGAAATGAAGCAAAGAAAAGCAGAGGGACTCAGTGAGACAGAGCCCACCCTACCAGCCAGCTCCGGTCCCCTTGGGGTGGAAAGCAGTCACATTCTAGACCTTGCTGCCTAAATGGGATCAGTGGATGCTTTCACTTATTTATTTATTTCTTGTAGTGCTGATAGTTGAACCCAAGGGCTCACGATAGATGCGTGATAGATGGGTGCTTGCCACTTTTGCTTATCTTTTGTTTTTGAGATTGATCTCACTAATTTTGCCTAGGCTGACCTCAAACCATAACCCTCCTACATATGCCTCCTGAGTAGCCGGGGTTATAGGTGTGTGTCACCATACCCAGCTCTGGTGATACTTTTGCGGAACTATCTTGAGCATATCCTCAATTAAGAGTTCTTCTAGCAGCAAAAGGGATGTTCTCAGGCAGCTAAGAGACAAAGATTCTGCAGGTAAGGGATGGCTTTTCAAGTGTTAGAAAGACAGAGAGAGAGAGAAGGATGGAGAGAGGGAAAGAGAGATAGAGAAGGGCAGAAGAGAGAAGGGGAAAGAAGGAAGGGAGGGAGGAAGGGGGGAGGGAGGGCGGAAGGAAGGAAGGGAAGGAAGGGGGGAAGAAGGAAACATTTTCTTGACATTATCAACGTGCCTGAAATTTTGGTTGGTGCTGTTCAAACAAGCATGCCTCAGAAGAAATCATGTGAGTTATCAGCTAATCTGGTTATAAAGAAAGTAAGACGGTACAAGAGCAAAGAGAGGAAGGGAAGGGGACTTCTACCCCACTTAGTGTCTCTGCCAGGCCTGACTGATGGCCCTCCACATGCAGCCCCCACCCCCTGTGGGTAGCAGGCAGCGCTTCTGATCTCCTCGGAAGGGAGCGCTGTGGCCTGGGGAAAGAGACAGGCTCTTTGATCCACAGACCTTGGCTTAGATGTGGGAGTTATGGAGACAAGCAAGATTTGCCACCGGCCAACTCCAAGTAGCTCACGCCATACACAGACCAACGTGTAGGCAACTATGATGGATGCAGATCAAGAAACCTAAGGCAGTGCCAAGGAGAGTCACTTAGTGGGAGGTTTAGGTGTAGGGCTGGGAAGAGGCAGAGGGCTGAGTGAGAACAGAGGGCCCAATGGGACGGAGCTCATCCAGAGAGGACCAGGAAGCTGGCCAGTGTGGCTGGGCGGAGGCTGGGAAGAGCCGGTGACAAAGGCAGATGGAGCTGAGAATGGGGAAAGGGAGGGATTCTATGCTGAAGACAGTCAGGAGCCTCGGAGTCATTTTCAGCATAGAAGTCACAGTCGGGTCTGTGTGTTCTACATGTCGTTCTGTGGTGTGTAGAGGGGACTGTGGTACAGCAAGCTGACTTGGTGGCACTGGAAGGAAAGATAAGAAATGGCACCACCAGGCAATAGTGGCTCACACTTGTAATCCTAACAACTCAGGAGGCTGAGATCTGAGGATCAAAGTTAAAAGCTAGCCTGGATGTAAAGGTCTATGATACTCTTATTTGCAATTAATCAGCAAAAAGCACCGAAGTGGACGTGTAGCTCAAGTGGTAGAGCACTCACCTCGAGCAAAAAGTGCTGAGGGAGAGCTGAGGTAAGAACCAAGGCCTGGAGTCCAAGCTCCAGGACTAGCACAAAAAGAAGGAAGAAAGGAGGGAGGGTGGGAGGGAGGGAGGGAGGGAGAGAGAGAGAGAGGGAGAGAAAGTGTGACAACTCAAGATTTAGGGTTTAGGGTTAGGGCTGGGAGTGTGGCTTAGTGGTAGAGTGCTTGCCTAGCATGCATGAAGCCCTGGGTTCGATTCCTCAGTACCACATACACAGAAAAAGCCAGAAGTGGCACTGTGGCTCAAGTGGTAGTATATTAGTCTTGAACAAAAAGAAGTTCAGGGACTGTGCTCAGGCCCTGAGTTCAAGCCCCAGGACTAGCAAAAAGAGAAAGAAAGAAAGAAAGAAAGAGAGGGAAGGAAGGAAGGAGAGAAAGAAAGAAAAGAGAGAAAAAGAGAGAGAGGAAGGAAGGAAGGAAGGAAGATAGATTTGAGGTTTATTAAGACATCCAGTTTGGGGGTGGGGGCAGGAATACAAGAGGGGGAACCCCAATGCATGCATAAGACATAGATTTGTGAATCTTGAACCTTTATCTGACATTCTGTGTTTTTAGACCCTTCCTACTCTTTCACATTCTCTTCCTCTGCTTGTGGCAACTTCTCACCCATTGCTCAAAGAGAGGTTTGGCAGGGAAAGGGCAGAAGGCAGCCAATGAGGCCCCAAACCCAAGGCAGGCGCCCCATGTGAAACTCAGCCCTGTTTCCCGGGTACAGTGGCCGCTGAGCAGCCCCTTAGCCATGGAGAGAACCACAAGGACTGTGGCTGGTGTGTCCCCCTTGCTGGCACCGTCCCCAGCACGACTGTGCGGCCTGTGGGGTGGCTGCACCCATGTGGAGGACAGGGCACATCTGGTTCTTTGCCCACCATTTCCCGTGCCTGCCTTTGACTTTCACACTCTCCACTGTTGCAGTCCAGCGATCCACCCGGCTCTCCGAGTCCTCTGAACCTCCCCGGTGCCGGAAGTGAAATGGAAGACAAGGTAACAGGACCCCAACTTCTTCGCAGAGCTTCCTTCCTTTTCCTTTCTTTTTCCTTTCGGTTTGCTTCCTCATTTTCCGTTCCTCGGTGTTGGCTTCCTGTGTCCTTCCTTCCACATGTAACCAGTAGCACAAGTGTTTCCTTGACAACACAACTGCTAGAACTGAAGCTGGCTCGGAAAAATAGCCAGGAAAAATAAAATAAATAAATAAGCACTGGCTATTTTCAAGGTAGCGTTTTGCTTTATGTACAGGCTGGCCTGGACTGTGAGTCTCCTATTTGTGCTTCCCTATGTGGCTGAGGGCGACAGGTGCCCACAGTTATACTTACAATGAAATAACAAACAGATGTGTTATCTGGGATACCAGACTTGCATCGCCACTTCCAACCAATAGTTGAGATCAAGTTTCCTGAACTTCTTTCTGACCAGGCAGGCCTTGAACGATCATCCTTCTATCTCTACATCCCAGGGAGCTAGGATTTCAGCCTGAAGCCACCATGCCCAGCTAGCAAGATAACTACACAGATACTACATACATATATATACAAATATAGATATATGCACACAGTAGTATAAAGTTATATATATAGTTTTATGTATATATAGTTTTTATATAACATGGAAATATTACATATATGTAACATATACACACATATATATGTGTATGCACACACATAAATATATAGCATTTTTATGTCACATTTAAACTTTAAGTTTTCCTGCAGCCTAGAGTTGGTACCTCCTCCCTCAGGGCTACTCAAGCAGGAGCTCACCTACTCTGATGGGGACCTCTCATCTCTTCTCAACAATAGCTCAGAATTGACACCCATTGTAAAAGTAACCATACATAAATGAGAAGAAAGCTTAAGGCTAGAAGTATTTTTCAGTACTTCTTGCCATCAATTCCTGTGTACCAGATGTCCATTTTGCTCTTGGAGCTAGCTTGCTCTTTTATCATTTGTGCATAAATATGAAAGATCATTGCAAGTCAAACCCTTTGACTAAACCTCATTCACTCCACCTGAACGTGGGCCTGTCTGGCTCTGCCCTGGGCTGTGGACTTATATGTAGGGCTGAGAGCGCCCCCTGCTGCACGTTGGCTTGGAGGAGCAGGAGGCCTTTCTCCTCTAAATTCTCTATACTATCAGGCGTTCATCCTACCATCTCATGCATCATTGTGGACTCTTACTCAGGTTGTCCTGCGGTCACCCTAATCTTTTGCACTGTGAGTGGTTGGTTAGTCTGAAGCTGTGACTTTTGAATGATTGCACCTGTACTCCAGAACTGTGGACTGTTCTGTAGTTCATTCTTTGAGGAATAGCACCTGCCCCTTGGGTACATTTTTGCCACTCATTCCCCCCGACACACACCCCCAGGGCCCTTCTTTTTTCTTTTAGCCTTTTGGTGACTCCATACTATGTAACTTTAGAGTGACAAAACATTCTTTTTTGAGATGGCATCTCCATATGTAGCTAGGCTGCCCTTAAACTTCAACCCCTTTGCCTTAGCCTCCTGGGATTACAGGCACAAACAGTTTCACCTGGCCCAAAATATTTTTTTTTTTACTGATTATGAAAGTCAGATACTAAGCATAGAGATTATATTATTCCTTCAACAAATAGGGATTGAACATTTATCAACTGAAGTTTGCTACTTGGGCATAAAAGAGACTGATACAAAGTTAAGAAGATAACTTCTCGTCTCATAGGAACTTGGTCCTTTGTAGGAGATAAGCATGTAACCATGTCTGAGAGGTACTAATTATTTTAGGCTTTGTGGTCACATGACTGCAACTCTACTGTTCTCCTTCATGCTATTCTTCCTTTGTGGCACAAAATCAGCCAAGTTGATGGGCCCGGATGTGGGCACCAAAGCATGTTGTGCTCAGGCTTTGTTGCTTATCATTCAGAGTTAGAAACCTAGTCCTGGAAAGGCTTTTTTTTTTCAGTCATGGGTCTTGAATTCGAGTCTTTAGCACTATCCCTGAGCTTTTGTGCTCAAGGCAAGTGCTCTACCATTTTGAGCCACAGTTCAACTTCTGGATTTCAGGTGGTTAATTGGAGATAAAGAGTCACAGACTTTTCTGCCTGGGCTGGCTTCCAATTGCAGTCCTCAGATCTCAGCCTCCTAAGTAGCTAGGATTATAGACATAAGCCACCAGCACCTGGCTTTTAACTAAACTTTACAGTGAATACAAGTAGATATCCTGGTACAGCCCCTTCCCATGGTACTGGAAATTGAAATCAGGGCCTTGAGCTTGCACCAAGCCTTTTTGCTTTAGTTTTGTTTTCCAGATAGAGTCTCATGCTTTTGTCCAGGATCATCAGCCTTGGACTAAAATCCTCCTCCCCCGGCCTCCTGAGTAGCTGGGATTACAGCTAGGAATCACCACTCCCAGCAACATCTTGTCTTTTGATTCCAAAGCCAAGGTTTATTTCACTGTAGCAGTAAGCTCTTCTGCACTCTGGTGTTCCCTAGGTCTGACCAAGTGTAGAGGCCAATATGTGCTACCATTCTGGGATTCCCTGTAGGCTGCTTTCTGCTCCAAACTGACTTTCTGTCTTAATCTGCACCGTAGGTTGCTCCAGTTAAACCTTCTCGTCCAAAAAGGCATTTCTCTTCTGCGGGTACCATTGAGAGTGTCAACCTCGACGCCATCCCCCTGGCCATCGCTCGTCTGGACAACAGTGCCGCCAAGCACAAACTGGCTGTTAAGCCAAAAAACCAGAGGGTGTCAAGGAAGCACAGACGGCTTGCCCAGGTGTGTAATGCCCGTCCTGGCTGAGCAGACGTCCTTGCCTGCTGGACACTGATGTTACCAAGGGGGTTGTGGCTGGAATACAGACATCAAAGGATGTAGCTGTCTAGCCATGGGGGAGCATAGACAGCACTGCTGTGGATGATCAGCTGTTTCCCTCCTATAGTCCTTCCTGTCTGGAGGCTGGTGAACTTCAGAGGGGAAGTCACCTGTGGGGCGCGGTGGGACCCAGATGCCTTGTGTTTGCATTGCAGAAGAATGATGGACTGGTGCAGTATTACTTAGTCAGAAGGTCTGCAGTCGGATTAGGCTGACTCACAGCTTCAGGGGACATTGCTGGAGCCCAACTCTCTGTTTTACTCATCTCCTCATACTGGGCTATTAGTTTTATTGTTAATTCATAATGATAAGAAAAGGGAATGACAAAGGAATGGGAGAGCAATACATAAAGATTTATTTAACTCCAGTCCTGGGGCTTGAACTCAGGACCTGGACTGTCCTTGAGTTTTTGTGCTCAAGGCTAGCACTCTACCATTTGAGCCACAGATCCACTTCTGTTTTTTTTTTTTTTTTGGTGGTTAATTGGAGATAAATCTCACAGCTTTCCTGCCCAGGCTGGCTTCAAAGTTCAGTCCCCAGATCTCAGCCTCCTGAGTAGCAAGGAGTAGGCACAAGCCACTGGCAACCAGTAATTGCATTTTTATTAAGTAGTTGTACAGCGGATTTGCCATCCCACAAACCAATTTACAAATACTATGGATCTTGATCCATGTCATCCCTTTCATCATTTACCTCCTTCCCTCCAACCCAACTACTCCTCTCATTTTTTTTTTTTTTTGCTAGTCCTGGGGCTTGAACCCAGGGCCTTGCCTCTGTCCCTGGGCCTCTCTGCGCTCAAGGCTCTTTGTGCTCTATCGCTTGAGCCATAGCACCACTCCCTGCTTTTTCTGTGTATGTGGTACTAAGGAATTGAACCAGGGCTTCATGCATACTAAGCAAGCACTCCACCACTACGCCACATTCCCAGCCACAATTTTAATTTCATAGGATATGTACAGAACATTATGACTGTATCTTCCCACTCCTTCCTCTCTAAGATGAAGAAGTTCTTGAACCTGGGCTTGAACTTAGGGCCTGGGCATTGTCTCTGAGGTGTTTTTTTTTTTTTTTTTTTTTTGCTCAAGACTAGTATTCTCCCACAGCTCCATTGCCAGCTTTTAATTGGAAATGAGTCTCTCAGGTTTTGTCTGCCTGGGCTGGCTTCAATCTGCAATCCTCAGATTTCAGCCTCCTGAGTAGCAAGGATTAGGCAGCTAAGATGAAGTGCTTTATCCAGCCCTTCCTTGCTTGTGAGTTGACCAGCACAGTACTCTCCTTACCTACAAAACAGGCTCCATGCCTGTACTTTTTTCTATGCCGCTGATATAAATTAGGCACAGAGACGAACAAAAACATTAAGAATTATAACAGTGTACTGTAATAAAAGTTATTTGAAACATATGAATTGCTTCTGGGAATATTGGGAAAATGGAGGAGAATGGAAAAGGAGTAGGCCGGACTCGATCACCAACAGGCGAGGACTGTTTATTGAGGAACAGCGAGGGGCACAGAGCTTCCGCAGGTTTGGAGGTTATGCAACAGAGCTGGGACAGGGACTGGATTTTTTTTGGGGGGTGGGGTGGGGAGTCCGGTCATGGGGCCTGAACTCTGGGCCTGGGCGCTGTCCCTCAGCCCTTCAGCTCAAGGCTAGCGCTCTACCACTTGAGCCACAGTGCCACTTCTGGCTTTTTTCTTTTTGCTTATGTGGTGCTGAGGAATCGAACCCAGGGCCTCATGCATGCAAGGCAAGTGCTCTACCACTGAGCCACCTTCCCAGCCCCAGGGACTGGATTTTAATGAGTCTGAGCCAGGAGGCAGAGGTTAATGAGAAAGCCACCAGGTCAAGGGAGAGTGGGGGGTTTTCATTTGGGCCCACCATGAGAAGTGGATTGCCCTGCCAATACATCAAACAAGTTGGCACATCAAGCAAGTTCACACATACCTGGGATTTCGCCTGGCATCTGTATGTGACTGGTACAATAGGGTCAGTCCTTCATAAAATGATTGGGCCAAGAGTGGAGCAGCAAGTCCTTCATATAGGATCTTTGGATCCATAAAAAGAATTGGGCTGAGAAGGGAGTAACATGGAGTTATGAGAATGAAGCAGGTTCCTATACAAAGCAGATTCCCATCAAATGTAATATTTGGTTGCGCTTAAGTAATAACTGAGAGAAGGAAATCTCAGTCAGAAGAGAGGCTGCTAGAGGGCTAGATGCAGCCCCTAAAGGAACACGGGTCCCAAGGAGATTAGGGCCATCTGCATTGTGAGCTAGAGGAGTGAGGAGTGTCTGTGCAAAAGGTCAAAGGCTAACTGTGTCCCTTCCTCCATGCTAGGACCGACAAAATGACACAGGCATCTTGGAGAGTCAGTCGTCACTGGACCAGAACGGGCACCAAGGAGAAGACAAGCCCATCTGTCATGAAGAGGAGCCAGAGCCCCTGGACTCGGAGGAAGAGAAGAGATGCCAAGAAGACTACTGGCGAGAGCTTGAGGCCAAGTGCAGACGGCAAAAGGCTGAAGCCGCGGAGAAGAGACGCCTAGAAGAGCAGAGGCTGCAGGCACTGGAGAGAAGGCTGTGGGAAGAGAACCAAAGGCAGGAGCTCCTGCAAGAGGAGGCTGAGGAGGAAGGCCTGCAGGAGGGCCTGAAGCTGGAGTCAGAAAGGGGACAGCAGCGGGGCCTGGAGGAACAGAGCTGCCAAGAGCAAGAGCAGAGGGAGCAGGAGGCTCAAGAGCACTTGGAGGCTGCAGAGCAGAGGTGTCTATGGGAGGAGGCCCAGCAGCTGGAGGGGCTGAGGTGGCAGGAGGCAGAGAGACAGCGGCAGGAAGAAGAAATGAAGGAGACCCAAAGGCTTGAGGCCCTGAAGGCTCAGCAACAGGAGGCTGAGAAGCGGAGGCTGGAGGAGGAGGCCAGGAGGCTGAAGGAAGAGGAGACCCGAAAGCTGAAGGAGGAGGAGGCCAGGAGGCTTGAGGAGGAGGCCAGGAGGCTGGAGAAGGCCAAGAGGTTGGAGGAGGAGAAAGCCAGAAGGCTGGAGGAAGAGAAGGCCAAGAGGCTAGAGGAAGAGAAGGCCAGGAGGCTGGAGGAAGAGAAAGCTAGAAGGCTGGAGGAAGAAAAAGCCAGGAGGCTGGAGGAAGAGAAAGCTAGAAGGCTGGAGGAGGAGAAGGCCAGGAGGCTGGAGGAAGAGAAAGCTAGAAGGCTGGAGGAAGAGAAGGCCAGGAGGCTGGAGGAGGAGAAGGCCAGGAGGCTGGAGGAAGAGAAAGCTAGAAGGCTGGAGGAAGAGAAAGCTAGAAGGCTGGAGGAAGAGAAGGCCAAGAGGCTGGAGGAGGAGGCCAGGCTTCAGGAGCTGGAGGAGGAGAGGCTGCGGCGGCAGGAGCAGGAGGAGGCTGGGCAAAGGGAAAAGCTAAGCAAGCATGGGGAGATGGAGGCAGGGAGGCCGGAAGGAGACAGGCCCGCGCAGCCGTCCAGCCCGACGCACAGTGACCCGGAGGAGAGGCCGGAAGACCGAGGAAGCCCGGCACCCCAACGGCAGAGCGGAAGCCGGGAGGAGCTGCAGGGCGAAGAGGCGGAGGCGGCCGACCGTCCCGGGACGGAGGGCCTGGGAGCAGGACCGCGGCGGCCGGCGGAGGCGGACCGGGAGCGGCGGGTGGAGGAG